GGCTCCTTATTTTGACTCAGGTGGTTTGTCTTTGTACTTTCCAAATGTACACTCTAGCTTTAAACATGCTTGATATGCCTCTAAGGTTATTACATTATGGGCTGAAATTGTTTCATGACTTAAGTCCTCTGGTTTTTAAAAGCAGCATAGTTCTCCTGACGCATCAAAGTCACAACAAACAGCACTTTAACATTAACTGTTTCAGTGCTAAGTGGTTTAACAAGAACACTAAGCTGATCCACTCATCACACATTGCCTGACTTGCTGTCCCAGTAGCCAGATATTCTGGGAGTCCTTATCAGCTACCAAAACTTCTAGCTTCCCTTTTGACAACCTCCACAATGCAATTTCTCCATCTACCAATATGAACTCCTGTAATGCACTGATGCTGATAATTTTGAGTATTAATATCTGTGCTTTCCCTTAAACTAAGCAACAAATACTGCAAAGTCTTTACTACTCTTTATGAGACTTGTAGAAGTTTCTGAACCCACTGCAGAATTGCCAGTCAGGGTACTGGACAGCTGCAGACTCCAAGCACTCAACTGAAGAATTTAAGTCAAATACTTAGCATGAATAGGGCTTTGTGTCATACTAAATAATCCTACTAGGTAACCTCCAAATGCATAGCATAGTTGTGTGTATTGTAGAAACTGGGACATGGGCCATCTGGACAAAGCCTCCACCAACTAAAAAGGAAGCGGTGAGTAGATATGGCCTCTGATAAAGAGCATGTTGGTGCCTTTGGATGCATCTGTTTGAATAATTTACTGGCGTGTCCAAGGTGCCAGTAGTCCAGAGGAAAAGTTGTTGAGCTCTGACTGGAGGTGCCGGTACTGTGTCTGGAGGTGCCAGTACTATGTACCGGGCAGTACCATTACAAAAAAAGTACTGTTTATACCATGCCCATATTACTCACACTCTCTTCTGGAATGAAGAATTCCAAGTTAGAAGATAGTTATGTACCTGTTCTATGACAGGATGGGCAAAAAATCAGGTCCAGGTGCCGCATCCAGCCCATGAAGCAGTTCACTCAGGCCTGCCCAGGAGCAGGTGCTCAGCTGCTCCTTCCTCCACCTTGCTCCATCCTGCAACAGAGCTGCTCCCAGGATTTTCCTGTTAGCTGTGCAGAGCGGGAAGGATGGATGGGACAGGGAAGTGCTAAAATCAGGGCATTGCCCTGTCTTCATACACCATCTCTGCACAGCTGGAGTCAGGGACAGAGGGCGACAGTGGAGCTGCTCCAGTCTGAAGTAAGGATGTTAAACATCAGTTAATTTACCAGTCGAGTAGTCAATGGAATTTTCATCGATTAGTCGATAGGAGGAATGTGGAAGTGCCTATGTAATAGAGGCAGCAAGGAGGGAAGGGGGAGACAGCGACTAGTTAAGTCACTAGTTGACTATCCGATAAGCATATTGACTATTCACTTACATCCCTATTTGGATGTATGCCACTGTGGCACCCAAGTTATAAACCTCTCCCTTTTCGCCATGTCTCCCACCCTCCCCTCACCCATCTGCTCCCTTGGTACCTGCTGCTGCCCCCCACCCCTCGCCCTCTGCTGTCCTGTCTCCTGCCCCTCTCAGTACCCTCAGCCCTACTGGGACTTGCCCCACCCTCCCTGACTCCTGCACCCACCCTGCCCTTCCCTGCTGTGCCCACCTCTTCCCATCCCCTTTCCTATCTGCCCTGCCTCTCCACTGCCCTCTGGTGTTTGTTTCCCCTGCCCCATGTCTGCCCTCCTGCTTCACTCCAACAATCCCCCTGGCATATGCACCTTCCCCTACAGGGAGGCACCAGGAGGGTGCCAGGGTTCCTTCACTGCCCCTCCCTCCCAACACCTGCCCCCCTTGCTCTCTTCCTGGTGCCCACCCCCTCACCACCCTCTGACCCAGTTCTCACGCTCCTCTGTGCCCTCACACATGACTTGCTCCATTCCCTACCTTCCTCGTGCACACCACTCCTCCCCTCTCCTCTTCCTTCTTCTTCCCTCCCATTGCCTCTTCCCTCTTAGAATCATAGAATAATAGGACTGGAAGGGACCTCGAGAGGTCTTCCAGCATCATTCTGCCATCCCCACTGACACTTTCCCATCCCCTTTCCCCCACCCCTCCTGCCTTTCCCCTCATTTTCTCTTGGCCCCCTTGCATTTATCTCTCCTCCACTCTGCCCCTGGATGCCCTCCCCTTGCTTCTCCTGCCCTGGTCCCCTCCTGCCCCTTCAGCACAAGACCCTTCCTCTCTTAACCCCCACCTTCCCCTTAATTATCCTCCTGCCCCTTCCTTCACCTTCTGCCTTCCTGACACTTGCACACCTCAACCCCCTCTAGCTGGTACCAGGGCTGGAGCCAGGGCTGTGGTGCTATTTTTAGTACACCTGCCCATAAGCAGCTGCATTGCAGCCCGGCTCCATTCCTGGCACACGGGGCAGCTACCCACTACATGGCCCTTCCCTAGGACCAGCTGGGGCTGCAAAGCGGTTGGTACTGGGATACTAAAAATAGCACCACAGCCCTGGTTCCGTTCCAGCACATGGGGCACAGCCACACCCCTGACTGCATCTCCAGCCCTGGGGAAGGGCTGAAGCTAGGGCCAGGGCTGCATGGTGGCTGCCCAGCTGCTCCTGAGGCAGGAGCAGCTGGGCAGCCACTGCCCAGCTCTACCGATGAGATGGGCAGGAGGCAAATACCTGGTGCCCGCCCACGCAGGCATACACCTTAGGGGGAACTATGTCTCTCACATGAAGTGTCTCTTCCACATTCACACATTCTCTGTAGCCTCCAGCCCACCCCTTCTGCCTTAGGTCCCGCCCTGTCCCAGAGCCAGCCCACAACCATGTACAAAATTTGTGAGGTGCCCCTCCTCCCCCCTTGCAAAAGTTATTGCTCATCCCTGCTCTGTGGGAATGTATTAGGGTGCCAATGAAAACACTACTACCTCAAAAGTTAATGAGCAAAATCACGTTTCATAAAATTCTTGGTTCAAACTGGAAAACCAAACCCCCTTCAAACAAGAAAGCCACATTAATACAAATATTTCAGAGGTCTTCAGTCTGGAAGGGGATAGCACTATTACTTACCACAAAGCTATGACAAAGCAAATGGCTTGAAAATGTTAAAAGTTCTCCATACATAGAAGTTACACAGTCAAAGGGGTAAAAACTGACAAGCTCTTTCAGGGGTGTCCTAGAAACCCAACATGCATGCTAAAATGAAGCAATTTTCATCATTACTAAAAGTCAACGGTAACAAGACTGAGAAAGGAAATGCAGTAGAGGAATTAATATCAGAAGAAGAATTCACCCAAATTACAGTGCTAAACGCTTCATTGCTAGAAATGGCTGTTATGCAGTGTCTTTGGATAGATTAACCTTCAGTTATGTCTCTCAAAAATAAATCAGATCATTTACAGCATTCATTGTTTAAAGGAAAGCACAACATTTAATATTCAAAGTTTATATTGACAGAGGGGAAGAGACTGCGTTGTGGAGGATGTCAAGGGGAAAGCCAGAAATTTTCAGAACTGGTAAGGGACTCCCAAGACTTTTGGCCAGTGGGAGGCAGGTCAGGAATTGCAACAAAACAAAACAAAACCAGTTTATGTGCTTAAAGTATTCAGCACTGAAACAGCATATCCATAATGCTGGCTATTCCTTTGCTCGCACACTTTCTTAACAGTACTTGAGATTGCTTGCTTTTGTGATCAAGACTCTAAAACTGACGACATTCAAGCTTAGATGGATTAACTTTACAACAAACTTTATATCTCCTCGATCCTTTGGGTTGGAAAGGAAAAGGACTTTTTGACATTTAGTCTTTCAGCGCCAGACAAATTGGCTGGCATCTCAACATAGATTAGAGCACGACGCAATACAAGCAAGAGAAAACTGGCAGCAATGCAATTTATGAGCTGACAAAAATTAGTGTTCATGGGTGTCGTCTTAAGTCTTTTTCATACTGCTTCTGCCTGTGTCACAAGAGTGCCACTGAATCCACATTTAAAAATGAATAGGAAATATAAAAGACAATGGCAAACTATCCCCCCAAAGTTATTGGGCTAGTGGCTATTCTTAAAAGAGAAACTGCCTCATAAGTTGAGCTATTATTTCTGCACCACTTTCTTAAATTTCATCTGTTCTTCATTCATGCTCCCGTACCCT